GAGGAGGAGAGCCTTAAGCTGAGGGAGAGGCTCTACAGGAGGAGGAGAGCCTTAGTAAGCTGAGGGAGAGGCTCTACAGGAGGAGGAGAGCCTTAAGCTGAGGGAGAGGCTCTACAGGAGGAGGAGAGCCTTAAGCTGAGGGAGAGGCTCTACAGGAGGAGGAGAGCCTTAAGCTGAGGGAGAGGCTCTACAGGAGGAGGAGAGCCCTAGTATGCTGAGGGAGAGGCTCTACAGGAGGAGGAGAGCCTTAAGCTGAGGGAGAGGCTCTACAGGAGGAGGAGAGCCTTAAGCTGAGGGAGAGGCTCTACAGGAGGAGGAGAGCCTTAGTAAGCTGAGGGAGAGGCTCTACAGGAGGAGGAGAGCCTTAAGCTGAGGGAGAGGCTCTACATGAGGAGGAGAGCCCTAGTAAGCTGAGGGAGAGGCTCTACAGGAGGAGGAGAGCCTTAGTAAGCTGAGGGAGAGGCTCTACAGGAGGAGGAGAGCCTTAGTAAGCTGAGGGAGAGGCTCTACATGAGGAGGAGAGCCTCAAGCTGAGGGATATACAGGACATGGAGGACAGGCAGGCTCTCAGCAGCAACCAAGAGAAGGAGGTCAGTGAAGGGCGGATGCCTGGAGGGCCTTTGAACCTAGAGAAGAGGGAAAAGAGACCTACACTGACGGGTTGTTCTCGTGACACAGCGCGAGGAGAGATGAGACGAAGAGATGTCGGAATGATCTCTGAGCCTGGTTGGAGTACCATGAGGAGATCTCGTAGCTGACATGTAAGCAGTTGCTTCCTCCATCTCTCCGTCAACAGACGTCAGGCTCATCTGCCTGCCATGCTGCGAGGTACGATGGATTGGTGCCCCAGCACTGCTGCTGCCTCATGGCTCCTTGCAGCACGTGGACCCATCGACTGAGGGGACGAGCTGCAGCGCCGCTTTCTCCCTCCGCCTGCACAATCGAGGACACGTCTCTGCTGCATGCTCAGCTGGCAACCAGTGGGTCAGGTGCCCTTGCGGCTGCACCTGCGCGCATGGGGTGGAGGACGGGTGCAGCATGGCAGCGCGCTGGGCGGAAAGAGATTGCTTCGATGCCGGCAGACGAAACGATCTCGAGAGGCATGGCAAGAGGAGGCGGTAGCAAGGAAGGGAGGGGTCATCCTTGCCTGACTGGTTGTTGCACGGCAGGTATGAATGTGCTGCAGCCCAAGGGAAGTGGTCAGGGCAGGAAGACGCCTTTCAACAAGTGAGAGAGGACTTGCTCTCCAAAGGTACTCCAAGAGAGGAGCAGGTCGCGGTTGCTCGGGTGATGAATGATGTCAGATGCTGCGGATGCTGCTGTCAGTGTAGAAGAAGAGTTTGGTGTTGACCGGAGCAGCTTCCAGACCTTGACAAGTTGCAAGCACATTGACAGAGCACAAGAGAAAGCTGAGAGCTGTGACGTGAGTGAAGAGCCTCGTGATGCGATGCGAACGCAAATGCGAATGTGAATGAAGATGATTGGTACGATGGTGGGAGGGGCGGCATCATGGTTTGATGGATATTGCAAACTGAGATGTCAGACAGAAGAGAAAGAGGAGGGAGCAGGCAAGTGAAGTCAGAAAGAGATACAAAGAGTGCAAGGGAGAACAATGAATCTTTCCCGGAAGGGCTTGTTTGTTCTTCATTTACTTGCTTGTTTGTTCTTCATTTACTTGCTTGTTTGCTCTTGTTTTACTTGCTTGTTTGCTCTTGTTTTACTTGCTTGTTTGTTCTTGATTTACTTGCTGACCCTCGAGTCCTTCAAAGGCGCCCTTGCACGTCAAGAGACATAAACGGGGGTATCTGACTATCAGCTGCTCAAATCGCCATCAGGTCACTCTTGTCTTGAACCTCCAGTCATCTGATTACACATTTCACTTGATGTCTTGATGCTCCTCCTCACGCTTTCTCTCTCTCCTTTTCTCTTCTCATCATTGTTATTTCCGATTGCTCTCGCAAGGTTGTAACTTCATGCTGCTTCCAGTGGGTTTGGTGCGCACTGTGTTGCAACTGCGGACGAGACAAACTGGGATGTCGCAACGAGTATGACCAGACTGGCACTATCTTTCAACTTGCCTCCTTGTTTGATGTTTCATTGTACTTGCATGATATCTGGTCATTCTTGGTTGCTGATGTGTCACAATTGCGTTTGTTTGAGTAGTCGCAGTATACAACATTTGACGTCTTTCTTGTTTACTCGTTGGACATCAGTCACCTTGTTGCTCAGTTTGCATTGGGTGAGGAAAGATGGCTTTGACACCGGATGTCGCAATCACCTCAAGGTCGCTAGTCTCCTCCAACTCTATCTCGTTCATTCTTTTGGCAGCGACACGCGAGGGAGCTGAGGGTTGAGGAGGTAGCAGGGGAGTTTGCTGACATGAAACTCTGATAGCATGTGGCAGGAGCGCAAGCAACATTCTATCAAGCACGGTTAGCTCCTCTGCCTGACTCTCCTTGTTGTCACATGTTGTATCGCTCCTCATGCTGTGCTCGCCTTGTGTCCGTCTGCTTCCCCTGCAGTCTCCTATCCTTGAGTCTGACCATCTACTCTTATTCTCTGTCTCTGCTTGTTCCTCTTGTCTCCACCAACTGGGTCATGATGATCATGAGAACAGATAACCACCAGGTATGAACAGCAACACTTCTCATTCACTTGTACATGTTGTACAGGTCCTTTTCCCTCTTACCTGCTCCTGCTCACTTGTTGACCCCCACAAGCTCTCGTTTCACATCTCAACGATCCCACAGGTCACCTCGACGTCGGACATGAACGTCTTGCCTGCTGCCGATCGTGCGTTTCAAGAGGAGAGCCAAGGTGCGTTTCTCGCACATTGGACCATGAGTGACATACATGGCAGCAGTCTCTTCTCCTTCTCTTCCTCCTCAGGTCCCGCTACTCTTGCTCCCTCCTTCTCTCTCAGCTACTCTGCATCCTCCTCCTCAGGTTTGCCTCTTCCGCTCCTGACCTTCCGCTCCTGACCTTCCGATTGTCATGAGCTAGCAGGTCAGGCGGCACATGAGCACCGGCAAGTGCTTGTGATTAACCACCTGTTTCTCGCCTCCTCCCCTCCTCCTCCCTCCTCTCCTCCCCATCTCCTTTCTAATCTCCCCCTCATCTCCTTCTTCCTCTTCTTCTCTCACTGGATCTTCATCTTTGGACAGAAATGTTGACGTCCCCCGACATTTCGCCTCGCGACATCGCAAGTCTCGGTCCTGAGGTCTCTGCTCCTGCTCCTGCTCCTGCTCCTGCTCCTGCTCAGCGGCTTGTTCCCTGCCCCTGTTCCTGCTCCATCCCCAACACAAGATCCTGCTGCGCCCTCTCTAGCAGCTTCTGACCTATCTCATGCAGGAGCTGGCGAGTCTTGCAGCCCTTCCCCTCTCCTCGGCAGGGATCAGTTTGCGGCCCCCCCACCTCCTTCTGCCCAGCTCTGGTCCAGCAGCTTGCAGCCTGTCATGGCTGGAGGGTGACATGGAGCGGCTGACGGCCGTCGGTTCTCACTTGCCTTCCTCGTAGAGCTGACTCAAACTGACTCCCTTTATAGCTGGAAGGCAGCTGGGCGAGGTACAGGAGGTGAGAGACTAGCTGGGGAGAATCTCTCCTCAGCTCGCTTCTTAGCTCTACGCAGGAGTTCATGCCAAGGCCCGTCGCTGTCCGACCCACTTTTGCGTCCACAGAGAGACTAAGGGTCAGCTGGGGGCGAGCTGGTAGTGGTCCAGGCTAGGGGGGGGAGGAGGGAGGGGAGGGGTCAACCCATCAACCGTTCAATCACAAGATACACGCAAGGCAACAGAAGCAAGCGAAAGCCAAGGGGGAGCAAGAAGCTGCGAGAGCCTCCGATGCTCTCAGACGTTTAAAGAGAAACTGCACATGATTGTTGTCCTCCTCCCGGCCCCGAGAAGAACAAGAACTTGTTCACGCCTTCACTCCTTCACTCCTTGGACGCCTGCTCAAAGTCCTCGACGATCTCGGGCACCTGAAGCCAACTCACTCATACCGCACACTAGGGGAGGGGGGGCGAGCTGGGGGACGAGGAAAGACGATGAAAGGAAAGACAGAGCGAGTGACCAATAGGAGGGCATGTACAAGTGTGCTAGTCAACAGTAAGAGTGATGGAGGTGCTGTTGCAGCAATGGGGGAGGAGCAGGAGGAGAGGGGAGAGAAGTTGAAAGGGAGGGAATGGGGGAGAGCAAGAGCAATAGCTGGGAGTGGAGCTGGAGGGGCACGAGGGGCACGAGGGGGGCTGATTTCTCACATCGTCATCCCCTCCAGCAGCGGCTTCTCCTGCCTTGCCCTGCTCCCCATGTCAGGTCACGATAGGACAGCGAAGGGAAATGAGGCGAAGCAGGAAGCGGGAGGGGGAAGAAGGGGGAAGAGGGGGGAGGTGGTGGAGGGGGAGGGGGAGGAAGGGAAAGAGGGGATAAAAGGGGGCAGACGAGAATGAGGGCGTGGGGTGCAGGCGGGCGGGAGGGGAGGGGGGCAGCGAAGGGTCAGACCGAGAACTGCTCGGCGATCATCTTGAGGTTCTCGAGGTTGTCGGGCCCGAGCTGGTTGATGATGCCGGGCAGGAGGTCCTGCAGCTTCTTGTTCTCAGCTGTCCCGCTGATGACGTAGGTGTTGGCTCCTATCGACGCCTGTACTTGCTGCAAGGGGATCAGACCTGCCAGAGCTCCCAGCCTCTTGCCACCTTGGGGTTCTTGAAATGGATGACGGTGCCGTTGTCTCTGAACAGATTAACCTCCTCGATCCCAGGGATGTTGTTCACTCCCAATCGTTTCAGAGTGTTCTGAAGTCGCTTGTCATCTAATTACTGTCAGTACTCCTCCACCACCTCCACCTCTACCTCCACCTCTACCTCCACCACCTCCACCACCTCCTCCTCCTGTTCTCCCTTGCTCCCTTGACTCCTCTTGTCCTCTTCCCTTCTCTCCTCTTTGCATGTCCTGTTTGCTCTCGCTCTCTTCTGCCTACCTCCCTCTAGTTTCTTGTTCTTCCTCCTCCTACTTGTCTTTCTCCTCCTCTCTTCCTCTCTTCCTTCCTCATCCCATGCACAACCTGTTGTTGCAGTCTTATGGACGGCCTTCTTCTTACGACGGACTGATCCCTTCCCTCCAGTTCGCACCTTCATGGAGTCAGTGGCAGAGTACCCAACAACCACGGTACCAACCGACGCCATGAGCTTCGCGAGCTTCTCTTGGTCTACAGGCATGTTCGCTCCTAACCTTCTTGCATCAATGTCAGCTCTTCCTCCTTCTCCCTTCGGCTCCTCCTCTTCCCCCTCATTGCAAACACTCAAACAGGGCACTAGGCTCTGTCGCGAACATCACAAGGCATTCGCTCATGCTCATGCTCATGCTCATGCTCATGCTCATGCTCATGCTCCCGCGCCCCCCTGATTGGAAGAAATTGGAGCAACCAGGTACTAAACAACCTCTTCGTTGCCCATCTCAATCAACATACTGAAATCATGTGGGGCAGGATCGATAACAATCTTGCCTCAAAGAAAAGGTCAAGCGTTTGATGGACTTGAACGAGAGGAGTATGACCTGAACTTCTAGATCGAAAATCTCTTGAAGATTCGAAACCAAACATCACAATGGAAAAAGTGCGTAAAGATTTGCCGTTTCATTTTGTTGTCTAGATAACTTTCTTTCTTATTTGTGGTTTCAACAGGTCGACCCTGTGAAGAAAGTGACATATCGAGAAGAGAAAGTTCCTGCCAAGACTAGCAAGAAATTGAGTGCTGACTCTGCTGG